CTTATTTTATGTAGCCCTTCAATTCCTCTCCACAAAAAATGTTTTTTTTTATGAATAATTTTTTATTTAGGTTTATTTAAAAAAATGTGTCCTTTCCTTGTTTAAAAAATAACTTATTTAAATTGTTATAAACATTATTAATTAACAAATAGTTAACTTTTGATCCTCTTCACAAAAAAAAAAAATTTTTTTTCACGCGTATTTTATTATTTAGGTTTATCTGAAAAATATAAGAATGTAAATATAACTACTTATTTTAAATAGGCTATGAAATTAAACTAAGTACTTATACTTACATTCCTATATAAATCTAATGAACCTAAATAAAAAAAGTAAACGTGGAAAAAATTTTTTGGTTGAGAGAAACAAAAGTTAACTATTTGTTAATTAATAATGTTTATAACAATTTAAATAAGTTTTTTTTAAACAAGAAGGACATATATTCTTTAAATGAACTTAAATAAAAAAGTCAGCGTGAAAAAAATTTTTAGTTAAGAGGATCAAAAGTTAACTATTTGTTAATTAATAATGTTTATAACAATTTAAATAAGTTATTTTTTAAACAAGGAAAGGACATATTTTCTTTAAATAAACCTAAATAAAAAATTATTCATAAAAAAAACATTTTTAGTGGAGAGGAATTAAAGTTAACTATTTGTTAATTAATATTGTTTATATAGCAATTTAAATAAGTTACTTTTTAAACAAAAGGGACATATATTCTTTAATTGAACTTAAATTAAAAAGAAAATGTGAAAAAAAACATTTTTTAGTGAAGAGGAATCAAAGTTAACTATTTGTTAATTAATATTGTTTCGGTATAACAATTTAAATAAATTATTTTATGTTTTATTAATTGTCTGGTGGTCATACTAGATTAATTTGAACTGATTTAAATCATGTGCAATAACGGAATAAGAAAATAAACGTCCTTTTTCAAAAAATTGTATTAATTTGTTTAAAACAAAAAATTTTTATTTTATTATTCGAAAGTACATTTACTCACTGATACAACCATAAATTTTTGTTCAATTTATGCAAAAACTCAATTAGTTAAAATTATTTTATTAAAAGGGTTTAAAAATCTTTAATTAACAAAAAAAAATATAAATAATTTAAATATTTTTGAAATACTCCGTGAAAATATTACTAGATACTAGTAGGGGAGAGTAGGCTACATTGAACCAGCGTCAACAGTGAACCACTTCAATTTTCTGAGAAATGACTGAGTGAAATTTTTTCATATTTAATATATAAGTTAGTTTTACTGAAACAAACTATGTCCAAAAATTTCGGGCACGTAGGTTTATTATTTACAAAGAAAAACTAAAAAAACTGTTTTTCACGTACAAAACAAAAAATTTGGTGGAATTATAATGACGTTTTTTTATTGAAATAGGAAGTTTTAAAAATTAGTAAACTTGCGATTTATTTCGCTTAGGGTGTCAACTTCAATATTCCGATGTGATAAAGAACTTTAAATCTTACACAAATTTATTATAAACAATTTTTGTTGTGAATGTCATGTGAATACAGTGAGTGCGGCATCATTGAACCACCCGAAAAAGCAAAGAATTTTCAATTTTAAGAGTTGTAAAATTGTCTGCTCTACTAATTAGTAAGAAAAATACTGGAAGACATGCTTTCATCACAATTGTGAACGAGATAAACTCAAACTGTCACTTTACCTACCTAACCTGACATTAAAATACATTAATCTCCTATATTAACAAGTAATAACAATTAAATAACGATTTTCTATTTTTTTGAGTGGAAAATAAGATTTTTTACAATGTGTAAGTGGAAATATTATTTTTGAAGTAAATTGTAGTGTTTTATTAGAGGTGGTTCAATGTAGACACACATCCTTCAAAATAAGAAAAGTGTGACTTGTTAGAAAAAAATTAAATTTAATTATTTAATCATAATAATTTGTGTTTGTAACGTGTGTATTAACTAAAGGAGTACTTCAGCTTAATTTTGATACAAAAACCTGATCGAAATTAGTAAAATTTTATTAGTTCTTGGACTTTATAAAATACCCGGTTCAATGTAGCCTACCCTCCCCTACTTTCAAATACAAATACTTATTTTAAATTTTGCAACTTTGCGAAAATAGGGGGGGCCACTTCAGGAATTTTTACTCATAAATGAGAAGCAATTTTTCAAAAGTTGACAAATCCATTTTTCAAAAAAATTCAGAAAACACATATTGAAAATATTAAAATCCTTAGAAATCGTTTTAATCACTGTTCAATTTAAAAAATTTTATTATCAAAGAATTTTCAAATTTAAAAAATATTTTGGCCTAACCTTGATGATTTTTAATTTTTTTATTAGAAAAAATTACCAAAATCTTTAAATTCCCATATTACAATAGACTTTAATCACAAACAGAGCGTTTTAAATAAAAAAAAAAAATTTCAAAAACGAATAATTTATTACAATAATTTTTCTACATTAAAGTTAATTTTATCGGCTATGTGAGAATTGTCATTTGTTTAAATTTCTCGAAATGACAAAATTTGGATTTATCAGGTTTTGAAAACTTACTAGTCAAATACTGTCAGAACTTTCTAGATATTTTGTTCTTTTCTGCAATAGTTGCTTGGGTGATAAACCATACTATTTCAGCTTTGCGCTGAAAACCATTCTGTTTCAAATACGCACTGAAAAACATACCATTTCGTGAGTGTGCTGCAAAACATTCATTTTCAAAGGACAGTTTGAAAAACATACGATTTCAACAGTTTTGAAGATAATTTCATTTCGAGAACATACAATTTTTTCCAGGTTGACAACTTTAACAAGATATTTATAAGGTTAAGAGATCTTAAAGAAACTTGCAAATCACTGTATATAATCTATCACAATTTTTATCATTTTATATGTAACCTACAATATTTTTTCTAATTCGTTAAAATAAAATAGATTTCTAAAAGTGAAACTACTGTTTGAATTCTAAATATTATCCAAAATTAAAATAAAATTGATTATTTTGTAGAATCAAATTATCTCAAAATTGGAGCTTTTACTCTAATCCAAAATATAAAATCTTAAAAGGATTTGCTGATAAAATATTATTTTTTTTACTAATAATTACGTTTATAATAGAGCATAAGAAAATTTATAAAATTTAATAATTGCAAATTTATAATCGATTTTTGAGAAATTAAAAATTGTTTAATAATTGGAGTTTTTATTTTTAAAATAACAGTATATTCTGACTTTTAAATTAAACATTTATATTTTTAATTTTTAACAATTATATAATTTGATTCGACAAAATAATCAATTTTATTTTAATTTTGGATAATATTTAGAATTCAAACAGTAGTTTGACTTTTAGAAATCTATTTTCTTTTAATGAATTAAAAAAAATATTGTAGGTTACATATAAAATGATAAAAATTGTGATAAATTATATACATTTTAAGTGATTTGCAAGTTTCTTTAAGATCTCTTAACCTTGTAAATATCTTGTTAAAGTTGTCAACCTGGAAAAAATTGTATGTTCTCGAAATGAAATTATCTTTAAAACTCTGTTGAAATCGTATGTTTTTCAACTGTCTTTTGAAAATGAATGTTTTGTAGCACACTCGCGAAATGGTATGTTTTTCAGTGCGTATTTGAAACAGAATGGTTTTCAGCGCAAAGCTGAAATAGTATGGTTTATCACCCAGGCGACGATTTATTAGACTCCAGTCTAATAATATATAATTTATTACAAACGAAATTTATAAAAACTTCCTGGCAAGCGCCTTAACCACCCGGTCAGTATGAATAGAATACTAACCTCACCTGACTACTTTTTGAGAAGGCTCGAGGACAAGTGTGAAGTTGCCACTACTGCAGCAACCACACAAATAAAAATTCCCTAGGTAGTTTTATTAAGGCACATTCACACCTCCACCTTTACGAAAAAGTGCTTACCCACTAAAACAAAATGCATAAAAGTGATTGGCTCGTTAAATACAATTTTTTAAATTCTCTTGACTTTCATTATGGACTATCATTCTGATTTGAACATTTTATTTTGTTAGATAAATCACCATTTAGAATCACTTCAATATAAAAAATTGTAAACAAACTTTTTAAATTAAATATCTTTAGTCGCTTACCTTCGATTTTCCTTTTTTGGTCTTCCACAAATCGCGTGCGCAACTCATCATTAAAAGTTTCTTCCGACCGTTGACGTAACGTTATCCTCGTCTTCTTTTTCAAAATAGAAGAGAGTATTTTTAAAAAAATTAGAGAATTGGGATAAAACTGATAGGAAGCCTGTAAAACTAAAATAAATCATTTTTAATAGAAAAAACGAACAATTTATAGATAAAATTCATTTTTTTTTGGCAAAAGCAGTGTATTATTTCCCAGTTGAAATTGTAAAACTACAGAAAAATGAAGATTAAAACTTTTTAGTGTATGTATAAACATATATATAAGTCGCATATAAAATGGTAAAACATTTTATAAACTTTTTTCTCCCAAATCGGAAAAGAAATAATATTCTAGACTTTACAATGCTAAGCGTGTGAAATTAGACACATTTGCAATCAGAGCTTTCAAAGCAAGTGGAAAATAAAACCCACTTATTTGTTGAATTTATAGAAAAGATCTTTACAAAAATAGTTATTTTATTTTTTAAAAAAATAACTATTTTAGATAAAGTTAATATTAATTTATTAATTAATAAATTAATTTATTTTAGAATAAATAGAATAAAAAATATTAAAGAATAAAGTTAACCGTTTTATTTAAAATAAAATAATTTTGCTTTAAAAAATGTTTTTAATAAAATAAAGTTAATTATTATTTTTGTAATTTATATTTACGATAATAATAAACTTTACTTTATTCTAAAAGTTTCTTCAAATTTCAATGTATAAAAATTAAAAATTTCTATTTTTCATTTTCTCTTACCTGTAATTTAAATTGCTTCTTTAATAACTGATTTCATAAATTTTTCTCTTAATCATCCGTGAAGTTTTGACTTTAAACTCGCTCTTGAGAAACTCTTGGAAACTTAAATCGAAGCTTAAATTACGTTATATCACAAGTGGAAAGAAATTTTTCTTTATACACTATTTATACAAAATTATTCAGTGCAATTTTCAATTTTTTCTTTCTTATTTTACACTGTTTCTTTTTTTTGTTCTCCTTTTGTCTCTTTTTATTCGCGACGTAAATTCTCGAGACGTGCTTGCAAATCGGCATCGGCGTCTGCGAGACTTCCACCATCATCGGCACCTGCAGCGGCAGCAACTGCAGGTTGCTTCGAACCAGCGATGCCCAATGATCCGGAAGCTTGCGGTAAACCTGAGAGTTGATCGGTTAATTGTAGGCCGAGCTCGTCGAGCACTTGCGACACAACAGCGTCACTAGAAAAAGAGAAAAGAAATTACAATAAAGTACAAAACTTGAAATTTTAATTCGGTACAAAAACAAAATTTTGCTGTGATTTAAATTTCAGAAATGGGGATAAAATTCAAAAATAAATAGAATTAAATAGAAAATAAACAAATAGAAAAAAATAAAAATTAAAAAATTAATTTAATAGACTTAATTAAATAACTTTTAACTGATTTTTAATTAAATAACTTTTAGTATTTCTTTACTTTAGCGTATTTTTTAACAAAATTTTTTGTTCAAAATTTTTAATTAAACAACTTAGTTTTTAATTTACTAAATTTAAAATTTTAAGAATCGAATTCTCTTTTTTTTAATGTAATTTGAATTAAAAATGTTCAATTAATGTTTGGAAGGAAAATTCGGAGAATATTTTGTTACCTCTCTTCTTCGTCGTCCTCGTTTTCCATTGCGTCGTCTATTGCGTCATTCATTATTTCCTCCTTCATATCCATTATTTCCGATTGCTTTTCAAAATCTTGAAGAATTTTCTGAATTTGCGGCAAATTTAGTTGCCTGAAATTTATTTTATTATATTAATATCGAATTTTTATATTTTTCGTTCATTTAAATTTATAACTCCTTATATTTAGTATTTTTTATTTCGAATATATAGAATTTATAATATTCTTTATTTTAAAATAAAGTATTTATATTTTTTCTTTTTATTCCTTTTATGTATTTTTAATATAAAATTTCTAAAATTCTTCACTTTTATTCTAATATAAAATTTATAATATTCTTTATCTATTACAAGCAAAATTTTTAAAAAATCATTTTAACTAAAAGCGAATAAGTAGAATTTAGAATAATAATTGCAATTAATAATAATCAAAATTATTTAATTTAATAAAACTAAGAAAAAAAAACTACTTAGAAATGACTAAATTATATAATTAATTATTTTTCAGTAATTAACCTGTTCATATTTTGCATTGCCCTCGTTACGCCCTTCATCGCTTGTGCCATTGTATTTTGTGAACGAAGAGTTTGAATTTTTAGTGAAACGGCTTGAATGTTTGCCTTCATTAACATAAATTTTTTAACGTAACGCCTCGTTCTTACGAGATCTTTTGCCATTATTTTTACAGCGTCCTGTAATTTTTAATTCTATTTAGAGGGGAATTATTGTTAAAAATTTAGAATTTAGAGGAAAATTTTCTTTCATATTCGGAAAAATAATGGAATAATATAAATAACAAGAGAAAATCAATTTTAAAAAGTAGATTAAAAATAAGAAAATAAAATTAGAAAACTAGTAAAAAAAATAAAAAATATTAAAAGTACGAAAAATATAAAAACAATAAGAATACAAAAAATTAGAAAACGAATAAAAATAATAAAAGTTTAAAAAAATACATAAAAATATTTAAAAAATCTCACCATTTGTCCGTCTTTTGCAAGTTTCTTAATATCAGCAATTATTTTCTTCTCCTGTTGTTCCATTCGCATTTTTTCTCTATCCAAATCTCGCATTGCTCTATTTAGTGCTCTTTGATTTTTTCTCAACATTTCCTCCGGCGTCACACGTTTTCCAAATAACCACTCCATTTTTATTTTTTCTGAAAAATCACAAACTTCTATTACGACTTATGTAAAAATCTAAAAATTAAAGTAATTTATTCTTAATAGTAATAAATTACCTCTTAATTAAAATTAATAAAATAAATTATGATAATTTAATTTATAGTAATAATAATAATAATAATAATAATATATAATAAATAAAAATAATAATTTATTTAATCAATTTTTAACGAGCTTGAAGCCTTTTCGTACATTGTATTAATAATATTAAAAATAATAATAATAATAATAATAATAAAAGTAATTATTAAGTTAAAAAATTATTAATGTTAATAAATATCATTTAATAATTATTATTCTTTCAGAAATTATTAAATAACAACAATAGTTATAAAATATAAAATCGATTTCACTTTAAAAATGGAAAAATTGTGAAAATTTGAGGTTAGGAGCAAAAAAAATTTCCTCGCATTTAATAATTTTATAGATTAAAGAAACATTATTTCCCATCAGTTCATCTTAATAAAGTAGAACAATCATTTCAATGAAGAACAATAATTATTGTAATAAAGTAGAACAATTATCAATTGATTAATAAAACGCGAAAACTAAAGGAGAAAAAGTTTGAAAAAAAGGAAATTTGAGGCTGAAAGAAAAATGCCCAAGGTAAAAAGAGAACAATAATCAGGAAATATCAATTTTTCTCTAAACTGATAATTAACCATAAACATACAGTGGAGATAATGACAAATTTGACAGTGAGTCATCTTTTAGTTTTAATAAAAATAAAGGCCAAGGACTTTGACAATAATTCTAGACAATTAACGAGAATTTAATATTAAATTCATACCTTCTGTTTTAATAATGCTACACTCCTCACACTTTATTCAATCTTCTCACCTGATTTACTTGTTTTTATTCAATATAAATATAAATCACGACAAAAATAATCACACTGTCAAAAAAATAGTCACTTCTTCTTCACACTGTCAAAAAAATAGTCACAACTCACAATATTACATACTTGTCCATTGAACAACGAATTATATCAAGAGTTGCAACTCACTTACTCTCAACAACGATCAAATTTGATTGGTCAAAGGTCCCCATTGCACACTCTACGATTGGTTAACTAGTGTAACGAAACTAAAGAACGAATCCCATTGGTTAACTCTCAAGTACAATCGCCGTCTAGCGAACAATTCTTCAACTTCCTTAACTGTCAAAAAACTTGTATTGTTTTTTTTTGTATTCAAAAAAAGAAAAAAGAAAAATTTGTACAGAACATTTTTGTGTTCCAAACAGTCGCTAATTGAAATTATTTCATCCAAGTAATATAAAAACCAGTGGAAATATTTAATATTTGCCTTTTTTTATGGTGTAGTGAATATAAATTAATTTCTCTTATATAAAAGAATCCCGGTCGTTGATGTGTGTTTGCATCAAAATAAGGAATTTACTTTATTTTTTTCCAGTAATTAGAAGTCATGAGTGAAAAAAGAAAGAAAAGTGATAGTCCATTATCGACAAAATCCAGATTTAAATTGAAAACTAAAAGAACGAGTACTGAAGGTAAGAAAAATGTTTCATTATTTTGAGGTTATGTTCTTTGTGTAGCGAAAAATTGTTCTACTTTTTTCCTTTTTTCATATATTTCTTGATAAGAAACAAGTTTATTTTCTACTTGCAAGTGTTTTACATTGTATAATTACTTAATTTACTATATATACTTAAAGTATTTTATAGTAATTATCGAAATAATTTGATGCAAATTTAGACGCTTTTCTGATTATTATCGTAAAATAATTCGAACTAAAAATTAAAAAAAGCATAAGAATAATAATTATTATTGTTTTTACTTTTGTTGTTAATATTATTATTTTTACTATAATTATTATTATTTGTATTATCATTTTTATTCTTATTCTTATTATTATTTCTATTATAATTTTACGTTAATATACAACTAAATTAAGTAAATTTAGTAGCTAAATTTGTATATTTTGGCTTAATTTAGTCTTCTAAGTAATTAAATTAATTTTAATAGATTATTTAATTAAAATTATTAACATTCTGTCTATTAATATTTTGAGTTAATATACAACTAAAATAATGAAATTTAGAGGCCAATTTAGTGTATTTTGTTTTAATTTAGTCTTTGACGTAATTGAATTAATTTTAATGAATTTTTCAATTCAAATTATTACTGAATTTCTATAAATATTATTTCTATTATTATTTTGAATTAATATACAACTAAATAAAATTTAGGGACTTATTTAGTTTATTTTGTTTCAACTCAAGTTTTTTTTCACATTCCGAGCTAAGGCGATTACTTTTAATTAATTTAAAATAATTTTTATGAATAATTAAATTGAAAAGTTAGTATAATATTAGGAAAATAAAAAATTCTTGTTTTTTCTTTACTTTTTTTTCAGATAATATGATAAATAATGGAGAAACTACACCAAAACGTAATGCTCACAGTACGCCGATTAGAAATTCAAATATTATCACAAATGGAGATGATTCTCCTGAAATGTGTAATCGAGCAAGTCCAATTTCGAATACACAAAAAAATGAAGTACTTTGGAGTTGGCATAGTCCAAAAGGTAATTTTTTTCAAAATATATACTAAAAATTATTCCTTTTTCATCAAATATTTAATTTTTGAAAATTTGTATTTTAATTTAAATTTAATCGATTAAAATATTAAAAATCAATTTGAATGAAAAAATAATTAAAATGAAATACAAAAATTAGAAATATTTTAAATGAAGTACGAAAATTAAAAATAGTTTAAATGCAATAAATATCATTTAAATAAAAATCAATACAAAAGTAAAGAATAATTTAAATGAAATATAAACAAAAATTTAATTTATAATTAATTGTAAAAATTTTATTTAAATATTTTTACATTTGTATTGTTCATAATTTTATGGATTTAAATTTATTTAAAATTTAATTCAACATGCAGGGCTCGAATGAGGTCCGTAAATACCGTAAAGGTCTGTAAATTTACTTAAACAGTCCGTAAAAGTCCGTTTTTTTGAAAAAAGGTCTGTAAAGTCCTTAATTTGATTGAAAAAGGACGAAAAGTTCGTAAATTGTACGATATAATTTTTTTAAATTCTCGTCAAAATTTCATTTGTCTTTAGAAATAATTAAATTCATCTCCGAAATTCAATTACATATTGTAAAAAATTTTGATAAATAAAATTCTTTACAAAATTTTCATTATTTTAAAAAAATTTCCTCAATTCAATGATTTTCATTATCTACTATTTTAATAAAATTTTCCAAGAGAATTCAATTATTTAAAAAAAAATTAATAAAATTCTACTCTAACATTTAATTATTTTCATAAAATAATAAACATTTCAAAGAAATTTAATTATTTACAAATTTTTTTATAAATTTCTTTGCAATCATTCAATTATTCATAAAAAACAGAATTTTTACAGGGATTCAATTATTTTCGTAAATTATAAAATTTTGTTTTTTTATAATTTAATTCTCGTAGAATTTTCTAAGAAAATTTTGTTTAAAAATGAATCTTAATTAAAATTTTAGATAATAATTGAATAGGGTAGAGTGGGGTAAAAAAGCCACATTTTTACTTTTGATGCTGTAAAATCTGTATTTAAAATTTTTTTCTTAAATTTCCAATTGTTATTGAAAGTTTAGTTATTAAGCTTGAAAATTCTTGACGAAAATAATTTTTATCTCATGAAAGGACTAAGTTATAAGAGTTTTACGAAAGCACTGCAAGTGGCTTTTTTGCACCACCTGGTGGGGTGAAAAAGCCACCCTACGATTTTAGCAAAACATGTTATCAATTTAGGTATTTTTATAGTTTTCCTTTATTTATATGACAAATAGTCTTATTTGAAAAATATTTTAATAATTATGAAAGAGTTTTTAGCAAGCAAAATTGAAAATTATATTAAGTTTACCTGTTTTCGATTTGCACTGACAATTTTTCGTACCTTTTTTAGAAGTTCTCTTTAAGTTTCACCACAGATAACATATTTCGTTGCAACCGTTTATTCATTGTTTATTTTTTAAATGCACTTTGAACTACTTTTTCGTCGTGTTTAATTTATTTTATTAAATAAACACGAGAAATTTTGTAAAATAAGAAGGTTAGTTTAAATAGAAAACAAGTGAATTTCACAAAATATTCAATGGATTTTTTGCCCTGGCTTTTTTACACCCAAGACCAGTTATTAAAAAAAGCAAAAATAAATTGTTAATTCAGTTCAATTTCCAAAAATTAACATTGTATACGTTTTCGGTATACTTTTCTCCTTATGTACAAACATTTACTTTTATTATTCGTTCACTTAATCAGGTTGTAATATGTTTGAAAAGTTCACCAAAATGTTTTCAAAAAAGCAACAAAAAATTAAAATTACAATAAAAACAATATTAATCTAGGTACAACATTCAAATTAGATTCAAAAGTTGCGTATTACCTAATAGTATTTATATTCTAAACAGCTGATAAATCGGCTTAATAGTTTTTAAATAAAACTCAAATGGCTTTTTTACACCATGGCTTTTTTACCCCACTCTACCCTATTAAAGCATTATAGCGTAAATTTTTGGAAATAATTGAATTTTGAAAAGGATTCAAATTAAAATCATTGAAAATTTGAATTTTTCATATTTTTAACTAACAATTCTGTGGAATTAATTTTTTTTTGAGAAAGTTAAATTGCAGATTTTTTTTAAAATTATTTGAAGTTTTTATTTTCTAATATATATATTTAATATTGAAGAATTTAGGAATAATTGAAATTTTGTAAAATTGAATTGTAAACAAATAAATTTGAAAATTATTAAAGAACTTTTTTAAAAATTATTAAAAATAATGCATTTATAGAAGAATTGTAGTTAAAAACACGAAAAAAGATTTAATTTTAGAATTAAAGTTACAAATTATTGCAGAAATTCAATTATCTTCAAGAGTAATAATATTCTTCGTAAAAATTAAATATTGTTCAAAAATATGTACCTAATAAAATTCTTCTTAGGGATTCAATTATTTTCATGAATAATAAAACTCATCGCAGAATTTCAATTATTTTTAATACAATTTTAATCAAATTTCTCCAAGAGTGTAATTATTCTGTAAAATATTAATATTCGTCGAAAGAATTTAATTTGTATTTAAAAATTTGTTGATAAAATTCTTTATGGAAATTGAATTTTAAGAAACATTCAATAAATATTCAATAAATTATTTATTTTTGTATTTAAATAATTGAATTCTAGTAGAATTTTCTAATAAGAATTTATTTAAAAATGAATTTCAGTTAAAATTTTAGATAATAATTGAATATTAGGATTTAGGGGATTTTTAGAAATACCTAATTGAATTTTTAAATTAATTTTTTTGAAAAAGTTTAATTGAATTTGTTTTTTTACTTTCTAGATGAAATAACGAAGAAAAATGATTTCAAAACACCAAAAAGGTCATCAAAATTACAAAAGCGACGTATGCAAGACTCGCCAAAAATGTATGCCCTATCAAGAGTACGTGCAAAAATAAAAGAACCAAATTTTAATCAAGCAGAATTTATCGCAAATTTCGAGCCATTTCGTGTGATTATGACAAATCAAATGCTTACAATTGATAAAGAAACAGAACCAGTGCCATCGACTAGTGATGAGAATTGTGATGAAAGATTAGATGATAAATCAAATGAAACATCAAATGACAAATCAAGTGAAAAATCAACAAATATAAAAATCGACGAAGCATCAACAACAATGAAAGTCGAGGAGAAACAATTAGAAATAACGGACAAAAGTGATTTAAAACTCGTCTATCATGATGATTATAGTCTCGACGAATCTCTTGTTCGTTGTAGTCAAATGTGTGAAGATGAATTTTTCGCAAAAGTAGCGAACGAACAAAAAATTGGCAATTGTTCAACGCCATTGATAAGAATTGAAGAAAAAGGTTCACACATTCACAATAGTCCAATAACAGGTTTGGAGGATTTAATAAAAATTCCCATTGAAACGCCACGTAAAAATGTCCAAATGACAAGAACAAAATTAACAACAATAGCCGACGATTCATTCGACGAATTTTTATCGCAATTAGATGTTGATCATTTACCGAAAAATGAAAGTCCATTAGTGCGAAATAATAAATCCCGTCTCAATAGTTCAGCACCGAAAAAATCACTATTTCCAAATACAAATGAAACTGCTTGTAAATTAGGTCTAGTGAAATCGTGTTCAACATTAGATACAAAAAAATTACTAAATGATAAATTTTTACCAAAAACCAAAAGTTTTGATTCACAGACAAAAATTTATCCCACTGCAAGTAAAATTTCCTTCCACCATCATCAACAGCAGCAGCAGCAGCAACAGCAACAACAACAACGACAACAGCAACAACAACAACGACAACAACAACAACAACAACAACAAACGACTAATCATCAAATAATCGAATCATCGCCAAGAAAATTTTTCAAATCCAAATGCAATTCGGAACCACTTGCAAAAAGTCCCAAATTAACATCAATTCCAGTCAACAAGAATTCTTCCACCACTGTTCAAATCCAAAATGTCCCGAGTAATGCTACGAAAAAACCAACTGGTAAGTCATTTCAATGCAAGATTTTCTCGGATTCATATTATAGTCAAAGTAGCGGCAGCAATAGCGGCGGCAGCAACAGTAGCAGCAATTGTAAATTTATATCAACCGAAAATCGTCCACTAAATAATAACATCAATAATAATATTAATGTCAATAATAATTTTTCAACAATACCACTCTCCAAACACAGATCGATGGATGGATTTCAGAATCGATCCGAAAGGCCTTCTCAAGTCATTTTCTTCACTGAACAGCAAATCGAGAAAAAAAGACTGGAGGCAAAAATGAAATTGGAAGCAAAACGACGAATGTTGAGTGCCAATGTTCCATCATCGTCATCATCGTCAACATCATCGTTGTCGTCATCGTCATCTTCATCAACGACAACAACGAGAACATCGACGATTACAAAAATTTTACCAAGGACGTCTTCAATAAAAAGATGAAGAATTTCTTTATGTGTTTCCAAAAAAAAGAGACTGCCTATTTTTTTAAAATACATAATAATGTAACATGTCAATGTTTCGTGTTCAAAATGTGCGTTAAAAACTTATTTTTTTAATTTGTGAAAAGTTTATTAAACAATGTTAAAAAAGTCGGGAAGAGAGGAGAGTGTCTAAAAAATTAAAAAATATAATGAAAAAAAATGCTCAAAAAACAAAGTTCGGTCAGTGATTTTTTCGTGACGAAATAATTATTATTTTGCTTTTTGTTAAAATTTCATTTTTTTAAACGGTGAGAAAAGAATTTGCTTTTAGTTAACATTTTTTGAAAAAAAGGTCAGAAAAGAATTTACTTCTTGTTAAAATATTTTTAAAAGAAAAGGCGAGAAAAGAATTTTCTTTTTGTTAATATTTTTATTTAAATTAAGAAAAGAATTCTTTTTTTTATTGAAATCTACTTGATAACTAAACAGAATTAACTGTTTATTATCGACATTTAATAAAAAGAATTATCGGCAAATGGTAAAACAGATAATTCTGCTTTATCGACAGACGGGAAAATAGATAATAATGTTGTTATCAACAGATGGTAAAATAGTTTAGACTTTTCATTAGTAGGTGATAAAGTAGATGATAGTTTTATTAAACAATGGTAAAATAGATTATGCTCTTTTATCCACTGATGGTAAAGTAATTAATCTCTCTTATCAACTGATGGTAAAGAAGTTTATATGCTTTTAACATAAGTCGGTAAAATTGATTTTTTTCTTGCTTTATCAAAAAGTTTTGGTAAAATTAATTCAATTTTCAAAAAAAGGGTTAGATTAAAAGAATAATGTCAGATGTTTCAAAAAGTCGATAAATTAGAATGACAGTTTTAACCAGAATCGGTAGAACAGCTATGACTTTTCGACAGTCGATAAAACAGTTTATTCCACCACTCTACTTTATCGATTATAGGTAAAAAATGTTTTCATAATCAAAACTCATTTTTTTATCGACTGTCGGTAAAAACACTTTCGCAGTCGGTAAAACTTTATTTTGTCAAATTTTTTTAATAAAAAATGCATACAATTTATTACTAATAATTTCTTCTTCTTCGTCGAAACATAAAATTAGGGTTCATGCGTTAAAATTCATTTAGGATATTAGAAATTGAACGTACTAAAAATTTTGTTATAATTTTAATTGTCTGTTTACTAGTTTTTTTCGTTAATTAACAGTGAAAAAAAAATTAAAAAAAAAGAAAAAAAATTAAATGTAAATAATATAGAAATAAATTATGAATTTCACTCTTATTTTTTGCAAAATAACTTCTAAAAGAATTTTTATTGAAAATAAATGTTAAAAACATAGATATAAGAGAAATGTAAAAGAAACCAGTTAAAAACAAAAGCAGTGAAAAAATTAGAAATAAGTTCTTGTCGATTCGAGAAATAATAGTTTTTTTCTGTGTATATTACGTGAATAAAACACGGCTGTGCCATGACGTTTATATCAAATTAAACGAATTGTATAATTTTTTTTCTCCCTGTGTATTAAAATAATTTACCCTTTCTTAATAATCCAAAATGATTAGAATTTTCCCGGAATTATTCATAGTTTTAATTTATTTTTCAATTCGAAAATTATTAAATATTATTATTAAATTATAATAACTAAATTTTTTTAAAATCATATAAAAAAAATAAATTTATAACTTTATTTTTATAAATAAGAATAATTACGAAAAGTGCGCCAAAAAAATATTTATCAGTATAGAGCCATTTCACGTCAGAAATATCACGATTTGCAAAGGGTATGCCGATTTTCGCAAAACTTTGTGGGATTATAGTTCTATATAAGAGACTCCTTTCCCCCAAATTTTTTCAAAAAAAATTTAGAATTGTTGAAGATACGCCATTTTGAATTTTAATATTAATTTTATAAAATTTTGAATATCTCGGAATATTGTTTATGGATTTTAATGAAATTTACACATTTTTCAGGTAAAAGTATGTACTTTAAAATGCAAATAAAGTTAATAAAAAAAAAATTAATTTTTAAATAAAAAAATTTAAAAACATTTTTTTATACAATTTTTTGTTTATTTGCTCCTTTCTGAGAAAAATTTTATTAACATATTTGGATTCCTTATGAATTCACCTTTAATTTCATAAAAAAAAATTGATGGAGACTCAACTGGTTCCGGAGATATTGAATTTTTTGTAAATTTTATAAAAATCCCTAAACAATATTCCGAGATATTAAAAATTTTATAAAATTAATATTAAAATTCAAAATGGCGTATCTTCAACAATTTTAAATTTTTTTTGAAAAAATTTGGGGGAAAGAAGTCTCTTATATAGAACTATAATCCCACGAAGTTTTGCGAAAATCGGCATACCCTTTGCAAATCGTGATATTTCTGACGTGAAATGCCTCAGTAGCCTATAATTTAGTGTTCAAAGATTAACACAAAAAAATTTTTCAAGCTAAATCCCTTAAGAGGAAAAATAAATATGTTAAATTTTAAGAATTTTCGTTTCTTAGTACATGTGGTAAGGGTAGATTTTTTTATAAAAGAGTTGAGCCCAAAAAATGGGTAGGGTTTTTTTTTGAAGAGCCCAAAAATAATTAAGCTAAATCCTCTAAAAAGAAAACTGAAAATGGTAAATTTTAAAAATTTTGGTTTTTCAGTATTCATTTTTATGAAATTGGTCTAGCCACCTTTACATAATTAATAACATAATTAATTAATTAATCATTATAATTATTAGATTTTTTCATAAAAATTAAATAAAAGAATTTTAATAGAATATAATTTTAGTTGTGTAAATAAAAATAATAAATAACAATAATACCTAATATTAGTTAATTATATCTGCATAATTAATTATATAGTTCATTATGCACTAAAACTATATTAAATTTTTTTTATATCAAAATTATAAAAATGAATTTTAATTGATAATTTCAGTTTTGAAAATAATAATAAATAATAAAAATATGACTAATTTTACTAATTACATAATTAATTATAATAAATGAATTATTTTTATTAAATTTATTTTTATAAAAATCATTTTAAAGAATTTTAAATTAATTTTCTTTTTTTATTAAAATTATTTCAAAAAATTTTAATTCATAATTTCGGTTCTATAAATAAAAATATAGTTTTAAGAAAAGTATCAAATTATTTTAAGAATAAAAATATGGACATGTCCAAATTTGAACAGTCCTTTTTCTAATAATTATTACATTTTGCCGAAATAAAAAATTTTTTTTATAAAACTATTTTTTTGATATAATTAATTCTTTAATTTAATTTTCAAAAAATTCTCTTTCACACTATAAATACTGATAATTTTTAAAAATTAAATTCTTGATAATAAAAAGTTAATTTACAAGTTTAAATTAAAAATTTTAAATTCTCCGTATAAGTAGAAAATGTTCAAAAATATTTTGTAATTACCTTTTTTTTGGTTTTTCTTTCTCTCTCTCTCTTTGTATATTAAAAATTTTGTTTACTTTATATTTATTTTAGAAGAAAAAAAAAAGAATACAGAACAAGCAATGAGCAATTTTTTTTTCTTTATAAGTCCTTTTCTTTTATCTAGGTCAGAGAAGGATGCTTTGTTTCATATATAAGACTTTTATAAAAGAGAATTTCCTTCTTCTTCTTTTTTTTCAAGTGCCTTTGAAATTTTGTATTTACTTAATGAACTTAATCAAGTAAAGTTAATCAAACTTTAATGTAAGTAGACTTACCTTCTTTTCGTCAGTGACGTCTCTCTCTCTCTCTTTCTCTCTCTCTCTCTCACACACTCTCTTTCGCTCTTTCTCTCTACCCTTTGGGGGTTGATCGTAACGAAACCCAACTGAAGATGTCGGAAGTGTTTTCAAATTGGGAAAGAATCTACGATGACGTATATCACTATAGGGGAAAAGAAATTTCTAAATATAGACTTAGACATTTATTATTCAAGTCTTCTGTACGTAATTAAAATAAATAATAATAAAAAAGAGCTATAAATAATGCAAAATAATAAAAATAAATGTTATTAATAATATAATTTGACCCGACTAATCATCAGAGAGAAATTTTAAAAATGTACTATATATATATTACTACACGGAGAAAAATGAGTTTGCTATTATATGGATAGCGAATTTTTAGCTATTACAGCTAATAATTAGCTGTTTTAGCAAAAAAAGTTAGCTAATTTAGCTAATTATTTTTCTCCGTGTATATATGTACTATATGTATTTTTATAGATTAAAAAAAAATGAGTGACTGTTAATCTCAGCATTTGATAATACATAATAATTGATATTAAAAATGTTAATAATAGTGACTATTTAAAAAAAATGTTTAAATGTGGATCTAAAAAAGGAGTGATCGTTGATCTCAGCGTTTTATTTATAGGTACACGGAGAAAAATATAAAGCAACTTTTACTACTTTTATAGTAAAAAATTTCCAGTAAAGCATTTCTGGTAATTTTTACTACTTTTCGAGTAAATTTTGCTACGTTCGAAGTAAATTTTACTAATTTTTACAAATATTTACTTCGAACGTAGCAAAATTTACTCCAAAAGTAGTAAAAATTACCAGAAATGCTTTACTGGAAATTTTTTACTATAAAAGTAGTAAAAGTTACTTTATATTTTTCTGCGTGTAGTTAATAATAATTAATCATGAAAATAATAATAAAATATTTTTAATAAATATTAACAATAACAATATAATGAATCTATCACTCAATTATCAAATACTTAAACAGTGACGTTGACAATCACTTCAAAAATTTTTTTTTTTAACGTTTTGTTTAAACTAATTTAAAAAATAATTTTTTTTGTCAAACATTTTTTTATAATATCTAGATAATATTTTTAATAGAATAACACAATTTAAATAACTGAAAAAAGAAAAAAAAATGTTAATTGAAAAATAATTTTACGCTGAAAAAAGTATTTCTATATATACATATGTAACAAAAAGAGAAAATAGTTCTGCAAATGTAACATTAAATTAAATTGTGAAGGAGAATAAAGTTCTTATGAGTAAATTAAATTAATCAAAGAGTGAGTCTGTTGAAACGTGAAAATTCAATTTGTAAACAGAAAAAAAGAAACGGAGAAATAAAATAAAAAAAATAACAGAAAGTTTAGCATAACTCAGACAAGTTTGAACTGGGTTAAGATTTTCTTTCCTCTCCCATTTCTATATAGAAAAAAAGAGAATATGAGGGGAGAAATATAATGCTCACGGTTAATTTCTCCATCTTAATATCTATTATTAGAAAAATGTACAAAATTCGAATCAAAAGAAGACAAAGCAAAAATGCGAGTAATTTTTGTTGTTTTTGAAAAAAGGAAAATATATCATTATAAACGTAAATTAAACAAGCGGAAAACAAAATGTAATTAAAAGGAAACAAAATTCCTGGCAAATTTGTTTTTTAAGCAAAACAAAATTGTTTTTAAAATGAGAGCATATTTTATTAGGTATAGAAACGAAAATATAAAAAGGATGCCTGTCGTCGACGGGCGAAAGCTCATAAATAAAATATTTTAAATAATTAAGATTATGGATTTTTATCAAACAATATAATATCGCACTGAAAATATAAAAAAGGTTGAAAATAAATTAAAATTAATTCAGTTTTGTAATTGAATTAATTACAGTATTTAAATTACAAAATTTAAAAAAAAAGTTAAAGATTTCTTCTCTTAATTAAAAAAAAGTACATAAATTATTTAAAGTAATTAAAAAATTTTTAAAATAGAAATAATTTAAATGTCGATCCGTTTATTTAATAAATAAATAAAAAAATAGAAAAAATTCTGACGAGTTAGTAAAAAAGTTGAGTATTTCTATTTTTTAATTACTTTTTTTATTGCAAAATGTTCATTACAAACGAAAATTAAAAAAACTAACTATACAGAAATTTAAAAACTTGCCACTCGGTAAAAATTCGAGCGCAAAAATTCTTTTTCGAAGGTAAATAATTTTTCCTTGCAAGAAAATTTTTTTTCTGGGAAAATAATTTTTTTGGCGAAAAAATTATGTTTCTAAGAGCACGATTTTTTTAAATTAAAAATATATTAATTCAATAACATTAAGAATAAATTATTAGGATCGTTATTCATTAGAATTGTTAATTATAATGTAAAAGACATGAAATAAAATTTAAAAAAATAATGAAAACAATAACAAGAATAAATTTTTCCATAAAAAAATTAAATGAATTAAAGACTGGAAAAACCTGTAAATACATCAAAAACTTTAGAAAATGAAATCAGTAAAATTCTAAAAAAATTGAGTATTTAATTAAATAAAATAAAAAATAAAAAAAATACACCAAATTTTAAATAATAAAAAATTTTCATTACCGCAAATGAATTCTTAACGAGAGAATCTTATTGAAACTGAGTGTAAAATATATTTCTATTATTATTATAATGCGACTTTCAATTTTTGACCTTTCTATACGAACCGAGGGAAAAAGCAAAAAAATACAGG